AAAATGGATTACTCATTAGTTGCAATTTTATACTCAAGTTATCGCTCTTTTAAGAGCATCATTTATGTATGGGAAAATGGATTTCTTTGAAAATAATGCCAGATCAGTTAAATAGACTAGACTTTGAGATTATGAGGTGTTTGGAACTGCTTCTGTTTCTGCTTCTTTTTTAAAGCAGAATCAGAATTAGTTTTTAAAATCAGCTTCTAAAAAACTGATTTTAGGAGTAAATTAGAGCACCAGAATCACTTCTGCATTTTCACCCAAACACTCCAGCTTCTGCTTCTGCTCCTTCACCCTAAATAACATGCTTTGAGCCTCAGACAAAAAATGTATACACCCTAAATAACATGCTCTGAGCCTCAGACAAAAATGTATATACACGAAATGTTTTTTTAATAATCATACACAAAGTGTGTTACTGAGTTGAAATTAAATATCGCATACAATGTTTACTCCTCTTTCTACTATACTTTCAAGAAGTTACTGTGACAGTCTAACTCATCAAAGGATAGATCCCTGTTTGATCACAATAGGGCACCCAAAGCTTCCTCCACCATCGCTGAAGATCCACCTTCGCAGGGGGAGGCAAATGTCATTCGGTCGCAAAAGGTCCCATGTTCGTCTCTGTTGGATGTGTTTCCGAAAATAAAGAAAATTAATTAAAATAAATTAATTAAAATGACTAAAGAAAAACAAGAAATGAGATGGAGCAGAATTTAACCAAAGCACATGCTACGCACGATGTCCTTAAAATGTATTTGTTGCCTCCCACGGTGCTAGGAGCGTTGCAACAAGTTCCAGCGAACGAGAACAAAGTATGAATACAGAAGGAAATTTTCAGAGGTAGCTGGAGGTGTTTTAGAGCTGAGAAATACGTGAGGAATGTGTATTAGCGTGTAAGAACATGTGTTGTTGCAAACCACCTGCCAGCCATTATATAGGAGGATTTGTTGTGTGTAAATAGTGAATTAATGGACCTGAACGTTGGACATCAATAACCAGTTCGTTGGGCATTGAATCGTTCATGAATTGTCCATTTAACGCTGCTTTAAAAGATAAGAACGTTGAGCATTTATTGTTGTAACGGTTCAGAACGCGACCAGACAGAAGGCCAGAACGCCTTCTGTTGCAACGGACAGAAGACCCGACGTTTTCTGTTCCCGAACAGAAGACCAACGTGGGCAGAAGACCCGACGTCTTCTGTTTCCGGATAGAAGACCATCGTCTTCTATTATGGAGTGATCTGTCCGAGCACTTTTGTCAACTGGGAAAAATAAACGTTTCGGGAAGAAAACAAAAATAAATCGTATCTGTTGAGAGATAGATTTTTGGACGACATTCGTGTCCGCAGGTCGAACGCAAGTCGCGGTTTTTCTTCTCCAATTCCGGGATTTGATTTGCACCCCCTGCGCGCGTGGAGAGAGCCTTTACCCTAAGGAATCTTAACTCCTTAAAGGGGGAGTCCCTTTATAAAGGGTTGCAAATCCCTTGGGTTTTCCGGTGTGGGAAATAACACACTAGAAACCCACCTTTTTCCCAGTGTTTCCATTCTAATGGGTAAACTTCAAGAATCAATTTCTCATTCACCCGTTATCCGTTTTGAGCGTACCATATATCGAATTGTAGCCCTAAGTAAGGACAATCCGAAACCACTTTGACCCGACCCAAAGCGGAAGTGGACCCCACTCAAAAAGTTGCCCCAAAATTACCATTTAATGCAATTTTAACACATTTTTCCAATAATCCCCCACATGAATGAAAATTGATTTTCGAGACATAAAAAAGATACGAAGATAGGACATGTTGTGTTCACCGGATGATCCTTGTATACGGAGAGGTAGGTTTAATCCTTTGAACCTTCCGCTGTAAAGACTCGTTTATTTACTGGCTGTCTAGTAGACTCGATGTCTTTGAACTATACTGCCGTCGTGTAAATATTGACTTATCTTTACACAAGAACCTTCCAACTTTGTTCCGTTCTCATGGGTGTGCCCGTTTTGGCCATGGGTCACCGTCCTGGTTCTGCAAGAGTTTCTAAAGAACTGAGCCATTACAGTTCTCCTTTGAAGCGACCCTCTTCTCTCTCACATAGGTGATTCTTTCACGAGTATCCCGCATACTCTTCCAATGTTATCGAGTAGATCAACATTTTAGAATCATTAAAGCAAACGTTTTTGCTAACCTCGTGTGGGAGTCACTGTTTCAACGAGGAGGGGGTAGGAGTCCGGGACCCCCACAGTGACCATCCTTCGCTCTATAATTTAGTTGTCCCATTTGAACCTAGGACCAACTAGGTTGGGTATCCATTATAGAACTTTTCAATTCACGGGCTTTAGTCCCATTCCTCGTGACAACTTCTCCAACAATTCTCTATCCAATGCCTTGGTTAGCAGATCCGCTATGTTATCATTTGACTTCACGTAATCAACATTGATAACACCAGTTGTGAGGAGTTGTTAAATGGTGTTATGTCTACGACGAACATGTCTAGACTTACCATTATATAAGTTGCTCTGTGCCCTTCCAATTGCCGCTTGGCAATCGCAAAGTATGCATATTGGAGGGACAAACTTCTCCCAACTTGGAATATCCTCGAGAAAATGGCGTAACCATTCAGCCTCTTCAGTGCACTTATCCAAGGCTATTAGCTCAGATTCCATCGTGGATCTAACAATCAATGTTTGTTTTGAGGATTTCCACGACACGGCTGCACCTCCCAAAGTGAAAACATATCCACTTGTGGAATTTGAGTCCTTAATGTCAGATATCCCACTGCGTCGCTATACCCTTTAAGTACAGCTGGATATCTTCCATAGTGAAGTCCAAGGTTTTGGGTTTTTCATAAATACCTCAAAACCCTTACTATTGCCTTCCAGTGTTCATCACTGGGGTTGCTAGTATATCTACTCAGCTTGCTAACCACAAAGGCAATATCAAGCGTGATACATCTCATTAGATACATTAACCTGCCTATAATCCTAGCGTATTCTACTTGAGAAATACACTCCACGATTTTTGGTCTGGTGTACGTTTTTATCTAATGGCATCCTTGCCTCCTGATAATCATCTTTATTAAATTTATTTAGAATTTTATCAACGTAATGGGATTGGCTTAGCGTAAGACTGTCGGGTCCTTCATGTCAAATTTAGAATTTAACATGTTTTTGGTAGAATTAATCATTAGATTATTGCTACCCACGATGAGTATATCATCCACGTATAAACACAAAGTGACATAGCGGTCTAACGTGCTTTTCACATAGACGCATTTGTCACTTTCGTTTATTTTAAAACCATTAATTAACATTGCATGATCGAACTTTTCGTGCCACTGTTTAGGGCTTGTTTCAATCCATACAATGATGTAATTAATTTACAAACCTTCTTTTCTTAGCCTGGAACACAAAAACCCTCAGGTTGTTCCATATAGATTTCTTCGTCTATATCGCCATTTAGAAAAGCGGTTTTTACGTCCATTTGATGAACTTCCAAATTCCGCAAAGCGGCAATTGCTAGTATCATCCTAATGGAATTTATTCTCGTCACAGGAGAATACATGTCAAAGTAATCATGGCCTTCACGTTGCTTGTATCTCTTTATCACAAGTCTGGCCTTATACTTATCAATGGAACCGTCCGGTTTCATTTTACGTTTAAAAATCATCTTGGATCCCAAAGGTTTACATCCCGGAGCTGGGAGATCAACCAATTCCCATGTGTGTTTTTTTAGGATAGAGTCCACCTCACTTTTGATGGTTTCTTTCCACATAGGTCCTTCGATAGACGTTACGGCTTCCGTATAAGTCCGTGCAGTGGCTCATTTTCTACCAAACATATTAGAAAATCCGGTTCATTCTCTACCATACATGTTAGAATGTTGGAATCAGATTCCACCAAGTATGTGAGACAATCCGGTCCGAAGGATTTTTCAACTCTAGCACGTTTGCTACGTCGGGGTTCAGCTTCTAAACCGGATCCCTCGCTAGTATTTTCCATAGCTACGTCAAACGTTCGTTTTGACGTGCTAGGTCCATCGTTGGACTTGCATGGAAATACGCCTTCAAAGAATGATGCATTCCTTGACTCAATTATTGTGTTTTTATGTACATCCGGATTATTCGAACCGTACACTAAAAACCGATAAACACTACTATTTTGTGCATATCCAATAAAAATACAATCCACCGTTTTTGGACCTATTTTTATTTTCTTTGGTGTTGATACAAACACCTTAGCAAGACACCCCCACACTTTTAAATATTGATAGGAAGGCCGTCTGCCTTTCCACAACTCGTAAGGATTTTTATCATATTTTTTCCGGGGAACCTTATTTAAAAGGTAATTGCTTGTCAAGATTGCTTCGCCCCACATATTTTGTGGCAGGCCCGAACTTACTAGCATCGCATTCATCATACCTTTCAATGTGCGATTCTTTCGTTCGACAACACCATTTGATTGAGGTGAATAGGGTGTGGTACGTTCGTGTACTATACCCTCACTAGCGCAAAAATCACCTATTGGTGCTTCATACTCACCGCCTCGATCACTCCTAACCGTTTTAATCTGTCGATTAAGTTGGTTTTCCACTTCATTCTTATAAAGAAAACAAAAATAAATCGTATCTGTTGAGAGAGATTTTTGGACGACATTCGTGTCCACATGTCGCGGTTTTTCTTCTCCGATTACGGGATTTGATTTGCACCCCTCTGCGCGTGTGGAGAGAGCCTTTACCCTAAGGAATCTTAACTCTTTAAGGAGGGAGTCCTTTTATAAAGGGTTGCAAATCCCTTGGGTTTTCTTGTGTGGGAAATCACACACTAGAATCCCATCCTTTTTCCAGTTTTTCCATTCTAACGGGTAAATTTCGAGAATCATTTTCTCATTCACCTGATATCCATTTTGAGCGTACCATATATCGAATTGTAGCCCTAAATAAGGACAATCAGAAACCACTTTGACCCGACCCAAAGCGGAAGTGGACCCCACTCAAAAAATTGCCCCAAAATTACCATTTAATGCAATTTTAACACATTTTTCCAACAGTCTCGTCGCTATGAATACCCTTCGTCGCACGTGAGGCCGTCCTCGTCTGGTAACTGTTGCAGACCTGCCGTCTCAGTTACTCTAGTCTCCCAGTGAGGCTGTTGACTACCACTGTAGACTCTCCGTTGTAACTCATAAGGGAGTGTAACTCTTAAATTTGTCCCATTTTTTCAAATTACTGTCAGTGACATTTACAATGACAGAACCAAACAAAAGTAAATGTTGATAGCCATCTAGCTATCTGAGCGTCGAGTTGTACAATTGGATATGCCGCCGTTGCTCGTTGAATCTGGTAGCATTTGTTTGCCTTGTCTTCGGTTGTTTTTGTCTCTGGTAGCATCTCTTTTTTAGATTATAGTGTGGGGTGTTTTTAGAAGAGGAGTAAAGTGCACTATATACGGAGTTGTTTGCTTTTTTATTGTATGATGTGGTGTTGAAGAATTGTACCATTGAAGCATAAAAATTATTTTTAAAAGTTTGTGTGTTCACATCAACTTTGTCTATATAGTTGATATGTCCATTTTAAAAAATAAGATAAACGTAATATGTTGCGCAGTATTTAACACTATTTATTTTCAAAAATGCTATTGCTACCCCCATTTTGTACCCCATTTTGTACCCACCCCCTATGTTTGTGGCTCACAAATGCACTTCATTAAAATGGAGCAATTCATTTAATGTGTTGGGCTTTTGTGAGTCACAAAAATAGGGTGAGGTATAAAATGGGGTACAAAATGGGGTACTTACAGCAAAGTTGATTTATTTTTTGGATGGGGAATAATGACAAAATGAGACTTTAAGCTTTTGATTTGACAAAAATAGGACAAAATTTCGTTTGAACAAAAAAACTGACTAGAAATTACTCCGTATGTCAATTGTCAAAATATTACCCCTCAAACATAGATCAAGGTTTATAAGTTTGCTCATCATTGGTTTTGTGGCCCTCCTTGTTCTGCATCTCAGCGTCAACCATAGCAACAATGGTTTCTTTGTTCGTCCCCTTCATCCTAGATCTCTTCTGGATTCACGCACACATGTGCCTCGATTTTCATCACCGCCACCGCTATATATATACGTTGCTGTCATCTCATGCATTCAATCTTTTATTTTCTTCTTCTGAGATGCCATCTTAATAAAAATACGAACAATACCTCATTGTCTCTCCATCTCTGGCATCGCTTGGAGGGTGGGGTGGCGTACTCTCCGTCGTAGATGGAGCTGGTGAGCATGTCACTGAATGACGAAGATGGCCCGCGAGAAGCGGCACCAGGACTGAATTCAGGGGCGTCGGTTGGGGGCTTGGGTGGCACCACCGCCACAGATGGAATTGGTGAAGATGCAGAGTGCTTCTCCCTATTGCAAGGAAATTGATTTGTTTGTATGAGGCGGAGAGATGAGAACCTGGGGGCTGGGGAGCTATTTGGTTTATGTGAGACAGATGAGAGCCTCACGAATTTTCCTATCGAATGTAAAGCTATTCGAGAAACAAACACGTAGATGTAATATAGGCTATCGTACAGTTCAAATAGGCACGTTGCTTGAGGAGGAAATAACTACTCGATAAAGTAATGCAATTATGTAGGATGATTAGCTTCGGAATATGAGTGAAGTGATGGACCCATAGAATTACATTTTGAAAAAAGACAATTAGTCCAAGTTAAAGCACATTCGTACAAGCTGAAAAAGGAAAGACCAACTCGGCAACTTACTATGAGGCATTTAGAGTCCATCTTTGCAAAATCGAAACTCAAATTCACCTTTGACTCTTAGACAATCAAAATACTTGACCTACAATTTGAAATATTTATACACTACTGAAATCCACCTTTGACTATTAGAAGGAGAAAGACCGACTAAATTGAAATAAAATATTACCTCTCCACTTAAAAGAGAAGATCCTCTTTAAAAAAAACTTTGTACAAGATAGGACTTGAGAGTATAAAAAATAACACCAATCCGAATTTGAAATAATTTACATAACCCTAATCTCGCCAGCCGTGTGCTTCAAAGTAGTCATATATATGAAAAAGAAGAACTGTGTGATTTTTTTGGGCTGGAGTACGAATACAATTTTGCATACTTTAGCATTGTTAAGGATGAAATCATGAAATAGCAGAGAATAGAAGTAAATAAGAGAAAAGTTTCATTTCTTGGAGAAGAGGTTGCGGCAGAAGAAAAGGATGAAGGAGACGGAGGGTTGTGCCCGTTGGCAGTATCACTGTATCACTATGCTCCACTCCTAAATTTCTCAAAACGTTTAGAAGGAAAAGGTTATTGGGGAATCATTCAATTGGATAAATTAAGCCAATAAGTTAAAGAAAAATTATAAGAACCTTTTGAGTGAAATATACTCCAAGAGGCACCCATGCTTGCCTCAATCGCCCACAAATTGTCCAAGTACTTAATGAGTTTGAAGCAGTGGCAAAAACCTTTTGAAATAAATACATTCCGTAGGTTTTGAATGACTTGTAAAATGGAACAAAAACGTGTAAAAACATGTGTCATTCTAAAATCTAAAACACATACTCTAGGCTTGGCAAGAGATTAAAAGAACATAAATTACATAGATATAAAGAAAGTTGCTAGAAACTAAATTGGGAAACCGTACATTTGCATAGAGTAACAACATACCAAGTGTTTAAGACATGTAAAAAATGTGCAAATGAAATCACATACAAGTAACAAATGATTTGTATGGTAAAATACGTTTTTGTCTTTAAGTGGCGTTTTAAATGTCCTAAAATTAGGAACAAGCAATCACGTTATCATTGTCTACCAAGAGCCAATGCAATCAGTAAATCTGCAATGCATTATAATAATTGAACAATGATTATGATCTAAAATCAATGCTTTCCAGTGTAGATGTTGCTAATGAGTACAAGGCTTTCAACATATCTAAAGACATCATGAAAAATGACATTTCTTCCTGCGAAACGGACCTTGACTTCATTAGAAGTGGGATCAAGCAAAAAACTACCATTAGCATCAATCTTATCGTTCTCCTCTTCTGAATATGGAGCATAAACGTTGCAGAGAATCTGGTTCCTCCAAACGGTATGTGGTTCTACAAAGTGTGGATAAGGGCCACAAGTCACTATCTTACTCCAAGAACCACCAAGCCCTTCCTCAAACACCCACAAATCAATCATAGTATTTCCTGTGTTTGAAGAACTAGAATAATAAAATACGGCAAGCCTACTCTCATACACAGTGAACTTGGCATCTCCGCTGCTAGGTGGAGGCGGTGGTATCAATTTGAACCCATCCGTTGCTAAATCAAATGAAACTATGACACAAGTATTATCCTCTTCATGAGATGCCATACCACTTTTTGTTGCAAACCAAAACATAGACCCATTAGAGGTAACACCATAAGAGAGAAGGTATTTATGACACTTCGAAAATTTTAAATAAAATAATTAAATTTTGTTAATCAGATAAAATGTTACAAAAGTGACATTTTTATAATTAAGTTGATAAGATAATCCTTTTTATAACGTGTGATAGTTATGCACTAATTATCAATACTACGAAGTAGCATTTAGATTACTAGGTACGAAGTATATATAATAATAACAATGCTTATATAATTTATTTATAAGTACATGCACATTCTTACGTAGCACTTATAAAAGTAGTTTGACTTTTCAAACTTAATAGATAAGTATATATATATACATAATGAGTGATCCATACTACTAATAATAATATTATTATTATGCACGTAATAAGCTTCGCACGCGTATATGATGATAAGAACGTCAAACGAACTCTGCGCGGCGTGAGCTAATCAGATAAAACCCACATAGCTAATCTTTAGAGACCTAGATGCTTCCATCTTCTCCTATAAATAGGGGCACTTCGTTGATAACCTACACCAAACCACGAGAGACGAACTCCGTCGAAGAAAGGAGATAAACGAGAGGAAAAAAAAAAAAAAAAAAAAAAAAAAAGAGGCCGGAGGGGGTACGTTAGGATCAGCCGACGCTGTCTGCCTGTCTCTTAGCCCTATCGCCGGAGAAGAGTTATTCGCCGGAAGGACTGGAGCAAAGATTGCCGGACTGCATTTCACGACGGATAAAAAGATTGCTGGAGAACTTGCTCGTCGACGCCACCGGGTCACAACGCCGTCGGAGGAATAGGACTGCTGCGGAATTGCTAAACATCTATCACCAAGTGAGGTAACCTGCACACCTACGTTTTCTTAACCATGAAGATGACGAATCTATATCGTTAGGCTGCCGGTTCATTAATCTAATTTAAACACAACTGGGCTGAGAATTAGTAATAATACTCGTAATACATAGTACGTAGTATTAATGTTATGGTCCAGGATAATAATGATGATTAGACTATTAGTAATGACGTAATAATAATAAATTAATTATGGACTGATTCACTGATAAAAATAACCTGGATCGATTATAATTAAAGATTTTGATAAATCTGGACTGCTCGTAATCTGTTAAAAGGGGTAAAAAATATATATATATATATATATGGATTGGATTTTGTTTGTTAAAATAAATAATAATGATAAACATATCAATGGTCTATATAGAATTAAATGGCTATTATCGAATGGACTAATTGGGATTAAAATGAAAATAGGACTGTTTTAGTTAAACCCGATTGATCATTGAAATACTCTAAAATGGACATCATAAAAATAATAAAATTAATAAACCAACTAATATGGATGATCGTTAGACATAATAATGGACCGAATTTAAAAACTAAGGTAGCAATACTGGATTAATGTAAATGGATCGAAATTAAATAAGTTCATTAAATGGATTGGAAGGGTTATGGTAAACTGGATTGATAAGAACAAATAGACCGATCAATTTAAAAATGGACATTTGGGTTAAATAGTAGATCAACTAAGATAAATATAAAGGATCATTATTATTAATAGTTTACTTGACATTCGGATAAATTCTAACGAATAGGCCGGTTAACATTACGTAACATGAATCACTTGCATTACCTTTATCGGATTATAACAAAAATCAAATTAACTAATCATAAGCGATTAATTAACAATATGTTGAACCGATTAAATAACAAATAACAAGGAATCATATTAATAAACGATGAATTATATGACCTGAATATTTAAATGGTATGAGATTTAATTAAATTGATATTAATTTGGTAAACGGACTGTTAAGGCTGAAATCCAAATAATTTAGCAAAATAGAATAAAATATAATTAAAAATGGACTTTTATAATAAAATATACAAGCATAATCCTTAATGGAAAGGTAGAACAATTATAATACGAATGTGAACAAATATTGACTTCGGGAATTCTAAATAATAGAAGGTGACTTTGGAGAGGAAGCCGTTAGGGAAGCTTGCTAAGAATATCTGGAATTTGAGGTAAGTCACATTGCAATCAAAATTATTATTTTTACCTCGTAAATAACTATTTACTTGATTTATGTGATGGTATGAATATTTTGATTGATGAATTACTTGTGAGCAAGTTGTATTTGTTGTGTTTTTGAGATACATTGGATTATGTGTATACGTAAGATATTTTGGGGAAAATATAAAGTTATGAATTTTAATCTTTGTGGTAAAATTTTGTCCAAGAGACATAAATGTGAAATTTTCGGAAAGTCAAGATAAAAGACTGTTTTCATAATTGGGGCACCACGGGAGAAATCCGTAGGTGTCGGGCCACCTTCACGTCCGTTAATGGTGAGGGAGGGTTAGGACTACTACTACTTAAACTGAGAGGTGTAAAGCAAATTAAATAAATTTTGGAGGGTTTGGTAACCACCCCGAACAACTGGGCATTAGATCCCATGTATTAAAGAAGTAGTAGTAGTACCTATTCCCTTAAGGGTCTTTGAACCTAGAACTTAGGGAGTATATCCCATTTTGAGTAGGGAGACGTTGACGTCAGAACTACTTAGACTTCATACTACTCGGAGGGCTTGGAATCCCTTTAGGGGGTGTGCACACTTAAGGTAGAAGTCTAGATTCTAATAGAGGAGATGAGGTACCGAGAGTAGATCGGAGTGACCGTGCAAAACAACGGATCACTGGGCTCAAGAATCGAGATAACGCTTGAGCACCGCCCTTCTAATTAAATGATTAGGAGAATTAGCTATAAAGCTATTTTGACGAAAAATCAAATATTTTGGTACTTGGAGAATTATTCTTTGAAATACTTACGAGAACTATTGAAGAAAATCTTTTAGAGATATTATTACTCTTTTTGAAATTATTGGAAACTCATTTTTGTATATACTATATACAAATACTTATTTTTAAACAAAACTATTATTTTACGGGGTTGGGTGGGACTTACTTAGCTGTAAAGCTAATTTTTGTGTTGTTTGTTCTTTTATTTTCTTATGTTACAGATGATGTGGTTTATGAAGACTGATGCACTGAGAGCGCTCCTAGAAGATTTTTAGAGTAGTCTCATTTAGAATGAACCTTGTTAGATTTCATGAT